CCCTACACCTGCTCTGAACCCCACCTGGAGCCTGATCCCCTAGATCTGACAGAGGCCTCTTTACTTGTCTGGATCCTGAACTCCAACATGTGTGATATGACTACACTTCTCTGCCTCCTTCCGCTCACAGGACTATTTCGGTTTGCTTCTTCAGAATCTGTGCTTGACCTGTTTCTTCCCACTGCTCTTTTTGTTCAAGTCAACCTCCCCCTAATTCTATAACAACACAGAAAATGATTTTCTCAATTTGCCAGTACTAAATATTCATATGGTTCTAGATGATGTATCTAATATAGAAATGACCAACCCCTTGGCTTTTAGTAACTAACTCATCCACCGAAGAGGCAACGCAAATAAGCATTTTCTTTATCCTTTGGCATCTGGCTTGCCCCTTACTCCTCAACCTCAAGTACTTCAGGGAGAGGGGGATGGGGAGGGGGAGGTGTCGGTCAGGGCTGCAGTAGGAGAATATACTGAAGTTACATAAAGGAGATGTGGCTCTATTTTGACTGTTTCAAAAAGATTTCGGTGGAAAGGCCAGGGCGTAGAAGTGGAATTTTACAGACGGGAAGAAGATGGCTTATGACTTATTGGGATGACGGCCAAGGGTCATAAAATTGTGGAAATCATCATTGGCTACGTCCGGGGACAGATGCCAGCAGCGGAGAGGCCCGGCATGGCTGGAAGTGCCCTTCACCACCGGCTGCCTCAGACCCTGGCCTGGCCTCATGCGGTCCCATTGCTCCTTTGATAAGGTCAACAGCTACCGTTCCAAGAACTAGACACAATTCATTCCGAAGCAGCCTGATTCTTTCCAGCTTGACTGAGATGTAACTGACAGGACACTGTGTAAGTTTAAAGTGCACAGTGTGACGATTTGTACATATTTACACACATGTATATAGTGTGGATTGATGACCACGATAAGTTAGTTAATACATCCATTAACTCACAGAATTACCTCTCTTTTTTTGGTGGTGGTTAGAACATTTAAGACCTACTCTCTCTGCAACTTTCAAGTATTAGTACAGTATTATTAACTGTAGTCACCACGCTGTATGCTAAATCCCACAGCCGACTTCTCGAACAACTGGAAGTTTGGTAATACAGCCTCGTTACCATTATTCTGTAGCAGAGGCCTTTTGGTCTAGGAAACAAATTATTATTACTGTTATTATTATTTAAAAATCTCTAGGATACCTTATAAGGAATAAAACACTGCCGGTGGTTGCACAGCTTAATCCTAAAATAATCTTACGGCAACAACCAAACGTATTTCCAAACATCGCTCCTTGAGAGTGTTTTTCTGGAATAAGTTCCCCTGATCAGTTTAGCCTCCGTGAGTCAAGCCTGCGTCTTTCACTTTGTTTCTCAGACCCCCGCGCTGGGCACCAGGAGGGGGCACCTTTCTGCTCTCCACTCCCATTCCTGTGTTGGCCTCCAAGCTCTGTAAGGCCTGCTTCCCTCCTTCCCTGTCCATTTTCTTTTCTGAAAAGCCAAGGGCTTATGCACACTTTCAGTTGGGTCCTCTGGCAGAATTTCAGTTGTTTTGTAGGTCATCTCTGCCCTTCCTC